TGACATAGGTGTAGGGTTTGGTAAATTTGTTTTTGATTTGGTTTAAATACATTTGTATTCTTATTTTGATAATTCTGTCCGAAAACTTGGGCATTAGTTGGGTAATTACGTTGTATGGCTCTTGAATTTACATTAAAAGGTTGAGACGGAAAATTATTTCTTTGTTTGTAGAAAAAATCATTAGGTGTGTTAAAATTATTTGAAAAATTTCTATTTTGATTCGGAGGAACATAATTATTGTTATATTGGAAATTTGATCTTTGAGTTTGATTTAGTCTTGAAAATTTTCTGAATGTATTTTGTACAGGTACATTTCGAGAAGAATTTTGATTTTGGAAATTGCGAGAATTTTGATTTTGAAAATTGCGAGAAGGGTTTTGATATTGAAAATTGCGAGAAGAATTTTGCAAATAATGAGCATTACCTTCTTCTAAAACAAATTGCAAAGCTTCACTAAGTGTCGTTGGCTTCATGTATCTTATTGTTGTCCCTAAGGGTTCTTTTAATCCTGACAAAAATGTTTTTAATGATAAATTTTGATATAATTCTCGTTTCAATTTTTTTGCTACGTCTGTTATTTCGTGTATGTTAACATAACTACATAATAAATTTAATATATGTAAACATCTGTCATATTAATTTTGTTCCGATTCATTTTGATTTTGTTTTAACATTACAAGATCTGTTTAAACAAACTTCATCTCTTTGATTAGAGAAATTTCTAGTTAAAGTATTTTTTGAATCGTTCCAATTTGCACAATTACAATTACAGTAGTTTAGCATTATCCCTTAATTTTGAAATAATTAAATTCCATAAATATGTATTTTGAAAATTTTCTGGATGTTCTCTATCATAAAATTGTGTGAGCAAAGATTCACTCACTGCTAAAAATCCACTTAAATCATTAGGATTACCATCGAATTCAGGTATACAATTAAGAAATTCAGGTTTGAAAGCCATATTTAATTCTTGTAAATTATTGGTTCCTTGTAAATTATTTGTTACTTCCTGTTCTTTTAACTTATTGGTTCCTACTTGTAAATTATTTGTTACTTCTTGTAAATTAGTTGCTACTGTTGGATTAGTATCTGAATCTGAATCAAGATCAGTTGAAGGTGAATCGATTTTTAATTGCAATAAACGTTTCTGTAATTCGTCAAAAGTAAAATCTGCCAAAAATTGTACTTACAATAAAAGAGTAACTATCATTATGGAATAATCCCAAAAAACGTCACTGGATCTGCGATGCTGTCTTCACCAGTCCGTAATTCTTGTAGATTTGGGCGATGTGTGTCTTGAAGTCTTCTAAACCACCTTTACAATTAATCACCAACAGTTTGTAAAATTATTCACCAACAGTTTTTAGTTTTATTTTAATGGAAATTTTGTAATTCAGCTAATCGGTAAAACGAAAAAATCGATCCGTTTGATACGACTCGATCCTGAATTATCCTACTGACTGCGCCAGAAATGAAATCTCGAATCAAAAATGATTTTTTAAAAAGTTTTATTTTACTTAAATACAAGAAATTTAGATGTTAATGGTTTGAATGCTAACTAGGAACTTACTTCTTACTGATTAAACTACTTTTATATAAACAAACTATTCTAAAATGCTAACTATGCAAAATCGTATATTTTATAAGGACATCCTGTACATTGTTTGCATTTTTTGTGCAAGAAAATAATTACTACTTTACACAGGCACTTTGCAGCATTTTTAAACGCAATAAGATTGCATTCTGATGTAAAACAGAATTAGCAGATTGACATGTAGATAATACAGCATTATGCTAATAGAAAACGTCAATATAAAATAAATTAACCTACATTTTTCTATTTTAAGTACCCACAGCCCACAGATCTTAATGTGCCTGTTTTTGTACTCGTTTTAAATTGTAGGTTGATAAATTAATGAAACGCATGTAATTTAAATGATGTAATTTAAAAAATACAAAATTTTAAGTAATATATACCGAGTGTATTTAAAGCAAAAAAATAGCGAATTGACTTTACAACACGTTTTTTTAGAATATATTTTTTTTTAGTTTAGATAGGTACGTTAAACTAAACTATTATTTTAAACCAGCAAAGAAATACTCGTATTTCTTGTAACAAAATATTTTATATTAAAATTAGTGCTTTCGTCATTAAGCCATATTCAGTGCTTATTGTCAAACAAAAGTAATCCAATAATATTGGTCATCGTTCTAATATTTGTCCAATAATAATGCATTGCTAAATCACCATTTTTTATGTTTAATTTGAAAATTAAAAAATGTACTAATTTTAATTAAAACATTACATGTACACTAGGGTGCTTCATTTTCAGGCAATATTTTTTTCTCTGTGCTACCTGAAAATCTGAAACTTTATAAAAAATTAAAAATTATGCCGCCGGGTAAAAGGTTCTAAATGCAATAGCGACTTAGCTCATTCAAAAATTCGATTTCCTATTTAAATAACATAGCGGTATATAGCTGTAACGCTTTAATTTAGAACACCTGGTGTTGGAAAATAACTAACATTATTCTCCGCCAGAATATATCAATTATTTTACTCCTCTTTCCCCTACGCCGCTAGTCAGCGAATTTAAATATTATTTGTTTCTCTCGCCCCTTATCACATAATTAAATGCTAAACCGCCTCTAACATCATGCAACCAACATCACATTTGCGTCTGATTGGTACTATTGGTAGTCCATGACGTAATTCCAACCAATCCTGGCAATTCGCGCTCATTTTTCTATCTCCTCTGATAAACGGTGCAATCTCGGGCACAGTTCATAGCTTAAAAGAATCAGTTCGCTCACTCAGACTAATTGGATGTTCCAATATAACATCCACTCCAGGGATACAAATTCAGGATGCGCAGACGACTGCTGTTTGAATATAGGCAGTTGTCATATATTGTATTAGGCATTCCAAACAAATGAACTGCCAGTGGGAAGATTTGATATATCCAAGGGTTGCGACATACGATATATTCTGTTTACAATACGTAAAATCACGAATAATGGATATTGGATATAAATATTTTATGTCGAACACAATAAAAATAAGATACATTTTTTCATAAATTGGCAGGCTTTATGACTATTATTTCGAATAAAAAAACACGTTCAAGATGCAAGACTATGTCTCTACCCCTTAGATATATCAGACCTTCACTGACAGCTATTGTTTGACAGATCGTTGGAATGCTTAATTGGTAATAGTAAGAGAGCCCACTGCAAATTACGACCACCATCTGATAACAAAATGAAATATGCTCCAAAGACATGTAACAACATTGTACTTTACCAAATTGCACCTGTGCCAATCTGTAATCCAGAGCAAAGTGGTTAAAAAAAATTATTTTATATTCAAAAAATTACATAAGACATGACAGCGATAATGGTGTTTTCTCTGAAAATTACAATCCTAATTCATTGTGAACCTAGCTTTTAAACCTGAATTATTAATATTTTTACCTAACTTTGGCAGAGATATTCAATAATAATTATAAACTCTTGTTAGACAATTCTTTTAGATCATAATCATAGTAGTTTTTTTGTCGTTTCTATGACAACCTGTTTGATGAATCACAACAATAGGCATACAAATAAATTCTTAAATCAGCAAAAATTGATTAATATTTTTAATGATTTTTACCTACTAATCGTGTGTAGATGTTTTTGTGCGATGTTAAGAGGAAGAAAATGTTTCCCGTTAACGATATATATCAAGATATATTTGAATATGTTATTATCTGGAAAACTTTAAGGGCAAACAAAATTAGCGCTGTCATTCCTTATGTGATTTTTTTAATATAAAATATTATTTTTTTTTAACACTTTGCTCAGGATTGGGATTGTCACAGGTGCCATTCGGTAAAGTACAATAATGTTTTTACAAGCTTTTGGGGTATATTTTATTTCATTATCAGATGGCGTAAAAATTTACAGTAGGCTCTTGGGCTATTTTGATTTGATTCTGTATGCGCCAGGGATACAAATCCGAGTTGCGCAATGTATAAACTGGAACATTGAGATCAAAAGTGCCGACGCAGAGTGAGCGAACTGATTCTTTAGCTATAAACTGTGTCTCGTGCATAGTTAAGACAGAAGCAATCTTGACTTAAGGTGAGAAGAGTGTGTGCTCGTCATAATATGTGAGTTTTCCCGCACTTTGTGGGCGTTAGCCGGCCGGCATTATTATTTATCGGTAAAAGTGAATTAAAACTTATTAGCCGGGGTGTTATCAAGTAAAACATTTTATTAAAGCAAGTAGCCTCATACTAGACATATTCTAGCATTGTTTTGTGCCTGTGTTTCGTATCAACAACTTGTTATTTTGTTGTATACCGAATAGTATTGTAATAAACTCTATTAAAAGTGGTGTCGCAGTTTGAATACCCGAAACCAGTAAAATCTAATCATACAGTCCATTAAAAAACACACAAATATAGGGAGAAATCAGAAAATTACCCCATACTTGCGCACCTGGTATAATGATTAGTAAATGAAATTTATATTTATTAAATTAATTTAAAACTAGTTTTTGTAATTAAAAACCTTAATCACATTACGACTCGATTGTAGTGTCCTAATGTTTATAATAAGTTATTATTTGTAATAAATAATAAATTTTAGTTTAAAAAAGATTTGATGTGAAATATAATTGATATTCATCTTTCTAGCTCTATAACTGAAAATGAAGCACCCTAATGTACACAGGCATTCACCTTTTCCAATTCTTTCTTTTTAATATTATTTTTAAGGGAAATAGATCACCCTTTTTTAAACAACATGACAATATGTAATCAAAAACTAAAGAAAATTGTTGCTATACTAGTTTTGGTCCAAGTTATGCATCGATGGAATGACTTCGATAGCATTTTCTGTCGTCCGGTTTTGCTACTTCCGGTGTGAGGATTCCGGTCACGTGACCGGCTATTTATTTAAGAAAATACATTTATTTTATGTCCAAATTTTTAAAAGTCCTTTTTTTATCATAGGTAAAAGAAGTAAACAAAAAGGAAACCAGATGTTTCATGGATTTGTTACGTACTGTAGATGTCATAAAGACAGATCATAATTTCTATAAAATAGTAAGTATTGATTAAATATCTATTTATTTATTTTTATCGTAAATATGCTTTTAATTCCGAAACATTGTTTCGATATTTTCTAGCTTGCTTAAAATATAATGGGCAGGTAGTTAGTGGCGGATCGTTGTAATTTAAAATGGGGGTTCAATTTTTTCCAATAATTTTAGCATTTGTAAAACTTTGTACTAGAGCCAATATCCCTCAAAACTTCTTTGGCATCGTCCGTTTTAATACACTAGAAATGGTACAAGCGCGGAAACTACCGCTTTTATTTCATCTGAAACTCGTGACATTTTCGAAGAACTTGTCAATCTAAAAAAGCCACTATACCCACCCTGGGCATTGCAAAGCCAAGATGAAAATAATGAGTTTTGTTCAAATTTCGCCCGGTAGAACTGTTTATAACTTTATTTACACACACAACACTAAGTAAAAGCAATCGTATTAAGTAAATTCAACACGCACTGCAATCCCCGATCAAAATACAAAAACACCGAACAAAATACAAAAATCGGTTTTAGATTAATCGGATATTTTAGATTTTTTAGAGATATATTCGATTTTGATTAATCGATTACAATATTATAATGTTTTCAAACACTACAACTATTAACTAAATTGCTGTACTCTAGTGATAAATAAATAATTGAATACTCGAAAAGAATCGAAATAATTGAAATAATCGAAAAGAATCGAAAATTATCGAAAATTATCGAAAATTATCGAAAATTATCGAAAATTATCGAAAAGAATCGAAAACTATCGAAAATTATCGAAAAGAATCGAAAAAATCGAAATTAATCGATAAATCATAACGAATCGATTATTTTTAAGTAATCTATTAGTCGAAAATAACTGATTATTTATTTTGATGATCGCCCGGTCCTAACGTTTCTAGTAATCCATTTTGGCAACAAAATTATTTAAAGAGGAAGTAATTGAATTGTTTTATTAATTTATGGAAATCTACTGAAATCTACCAAATGTGGCAACGTTGTATTAAAGACTCACAGTCAGAGTGACCTTGACCAAGCACAATACCTAATCGTTGGACCAAGCGAAGTTAACTGTCGTGACGTAATCTACGTGCGATGCACAAAATGATGCTAAAAATAGTGTGGTTTCAAGCAGGCACACTACTATTTCACGGATCTATTAATCTGTCTTTTTAACATTCATTCTCTGACACCTTTCGTGTTCACTAGACATATTGAACCGACAGACGCGATCGAGCTGAGCGCAGTGGGGTACCAAAAAAAGTAGAGATTACTACGTACGAAAATAATAAATATATTAAAGTGAAGTTATATTAAGTTATTTATATGTGATTTTAAAATAATGTGCTCTTATGAAATTTAACTGGGTGTTCACAGCACAAATGAACCAATGGAGAAACCGCCCCTGGAGGCAGTATAGTTTATTTAAATGGTATTAATCTGATATATTTATTTTATCAATAACCATATTCCTATAATCAAAAAATAACTATACAAGGCATTCCATATAGATATTTTTCTCCTAGTTAAATATAACACCTCCTTTAAATTAATAATTAATTATGTAATCGGTCCTTAAAAATATATGTCGTGCACGCTTGTTTTAAATCGGGCTTCATTATGGTCTGAAGCTATAGTAGAATACCACAATTGTAGATAGTGACTCATGTTGTAAAGAAATTTTATAGACCAATCAAATTAGACGTTTACCCTGTACAAAAAGTAATTTTTAATAGTTGTTGATTATTTGAATACCGACAAAAGGAGAAATATTCGGTATTAATTAATAAACAAATTAGTGGGGTATTGCAAAATTTATTTAATCTCTTACAAATTTACAAAAATCTTATTCTACTAAAACTTTTTTCTTCTACTCACACTTCAAAGACTATACGTTCAAATAGTTTCAAAAAAATTCAGAAGATTGCTATCTTTATGAATTATTTGAATAACTAATTCATTTGTTTATTATTTACCTCCAGAACAGATATCATTTTGTTGAAATAATTTTAATAATTTGACTGGTCTATTTTTAAACTGTTCAAACGTCTTCCAAGCGAGTTAGAGGTAAATTGGAACGTTGTCAGCGTGTAGTTTGCATCTTTATCTAACGTAGATAATGTCCGATATCCACACTGTCGTCGCAGATTAAAGCTACGTTATTGGCAAGAACGCATTTGAATCTTTCTTGGATGTTATCGTCGAGGCGGTGTCATAGGCGCGCTGATAGAGATTTCATAAAGCAGAGACCGGAATTATTTGTAATAGAGAAATTAAGTATAACCCAATCTATCTAATATTAGTGAAAGGCTCTTTTACGTTTATAAACAAGGGATGAAACAAACGATATTAATACTTCGAAGGCTGAGACTAGAAGAAAAAAAAATAAAATTGGAAGATATAACCAAACAAGTCATTCGTCGTGCAGTACATGCATTTTATATTAAAAAGGAATTACTAACTGTAAAGAAAATTTCCTCCTCTTTTCAATCTAATGAAAATCTCCCAAAAATATCAAGAAGTGCTTTATTACGTACTTTGCGTGAAATAAACTTCAGGTATTTAAAGAGGAAATCATTTTATGGCGCAGAAAATATCTGAAAACAGCAGAGTTTCGAAGAGATGGCAGAAAAATATATTATACAGATGAAACCTGGTTAAATGAAGGACATACTATGACAAAAATTTGGCAGGATTTAAATGTAAAAAACAAACATCAAGCTTTTGTAGATGGTTTATCGACAGGTTTAAAAGTCCCATCTGGAAAGGGAAGAAGGTTTAAACGCAATTGTTTCTAAAAAGACTGGAGATTATAACGAGAAAATGGATGCAGAACATTATGAAAAATGGTTTTCAGATATTCTTTTAAAAATCGAACCAGGATCCGTTATTGTTATGGATAACGCTCCATACCACAGCCGTCGTGTAGAACAGTTACCAACCACCAAATGGAGAAAAGCCCAGATTGCAGATTGGCTTACTAAAAAAATATTAAATTTAATGAACCAATTTTAGAAATCGAGTTACTAAGCTTAGCACGGTGTCATAAAGGTAAATATGTCAAATATGTATTAGATGTTGAACTATTATTACTGTTACACTCATCTCAAAAGACTATTACTGTTTATAACAGGGATATATAAAAAATATACGAGCCCTGTATCAGTGAAGTTGACCCAACCCCACAAAACATGATATTTGTGAATTTATCTCAGGGCAATTTAAATTTTTAAGCTGTTGCATAGCTTCTACCAAGAAAATCCGTATCGAAAATAAACCAAAAAATCGGGAAAGCGAAAAATCGCAAAAATCGAAAAACCGAAAAATCGTAAAATCGAAAAAGAAATTCCGTAACGAAAATAAACCTAACACTCCCCACTCCGACCACCACAGCGGTGCGGCGTTGAAAGCCGTGCATCATCTAACGTCGTTTCAGTTCGGCAGACTTCGGCACGGTGTTTGTGTGCGTGCGACTAGACGTATGCGTGTAGACTAGCTGCTAACTGCTCTTAAATGATTATATCTCTTTTAGACACAATTTCGGAAAAATTTAATTTAAAAATGAATAATGATCCACAAGAAAATATGGGACCATCATTGACGCGGTATTTTCCAGATATTTAAAGGATATCAAGTCTCAAACTGTTTCAAATATTTATTATTTCAGTTTCCATAAACCTATAGTTTCAATGATAAAAAATTCTGAATAACCTACATGTATTGAAAGATAATAAAAATATTTTAAACAATGTTAACTTCTCATTTATTCAATAAATAAATAAAAGAAAAACAACTTCACTGGGACAGGGCTCGTATATAAAGACCTGGACAAAATTAACGCACCACTTTAATTAATCTAAATATTTACAATATAAACCTAACATAAAACTAAGTTACATTGAAATAATGATGAACACCTAAAAATTAGTCGAATATAACCTTTACATGACCTTAATTTGCCTTATCTTTTCCATAAAAATTTGTTTTTGCTGGAAATGCATAAATAAGCTAGCATAACTCCAAATTGAAAAAAGAATCTCTACTTCTTATCACTGAATTCATGCGTCGCGGCATGCTTGATATCAAATGTTCAACAAAAGCTTGCGGTATATTCTCCCATTTTTCAATAGCGACCTCTATGAGTTGGTTGTGATTAGAAACAGGGGGTCTATGATTTCGAATCCTCTTTTTGAGATAGTCCCATAGATGTTCTATAGGATTCATATCCGGACTGTTAGGTGGCCACTCTAATAAAGGAATATTAACATCATGTAAGTAACCAATAACCTGTCTAGCCACGTGGGGATGAGCGTTGTCCTGCATGAATAAAAAATTGGGCCCAACAAACGGAGCAAAAGACATGTTCGACAATAATGTTGTCTAAGTAATATTGGGCATTCATAGACCTCGTACGTATAGGGACCAACTCCGTACAAGCATCGAAGCAAATTCCTCCCCAAAACATTTTAGAGGCACCACCAAAAGGCACTTTAGGAGAGATATTACAGCTGGCAAACCTTTCTCCTTGTCTTCGCCAGACACGCTCACGTCCATCTGCAGCTTTAAGGCTAACTCTAGTTTCATCGGAGAACAGAACCCGTTTCCAATCATTGATGGTGCAATTCTGATGTAGTCTTGCAAAATTTAATCTCTGAACTTTGTGTTCTCTGGTAAGCAAGGGTTTTTTGGCTGGTCTTCTGTTGCTTAATACTGCTTCATGTAAACGTCTTCTAATCGTTCGAGATGAAATAGTGATATTTCGAACATCTGCTAATTCATTTTTAAGCAGATTGCTGGTTACTCTCCTGTCTCTAAGAGCACGTTGTCTCAAAAAACGATCATCAATTTGATTAGTGCAACGTTTTCGCCCTTGTCCTGGTCTTCGATGGTATGAACCCGTTTCATTACGTCGCCTCACTATGCGACTGATGCTGGACTGATGTCTTCCTAACAAACCAGCAACATATCGCATTGAATATCCTTCATTCAGGAGAGTCGATGCTCGCACTGCCTCCTCCAGTGACAGATGTCTTTGACGGTTCATTTGTTTTACTTGATATTCTCCCAAATGAACTTCCAAACATGCATGTAATAAAAACAATTACAATCAACAGCTTGCTTCTAACAAAAACTTTGTTTTAATCAGCACTTTTTGAGAAAATGTTAACACAGTTTTAGACTAAAACGAGGTTTAATATGAATTATTGTCAAAACAAGGTATTACGTGACATTAGCTAGCTTAAAAAACAACTGTCACTGTCAAACAAGGTCCATGGCCTACTTGTCGTACAGTATGTTTTCAATAAATAAAGATTATCGAGCAAAATATAAGTGGTGCGTTAATTTTGACCAGGAGTTTACATTTGAATTTATATATACTTATTCGATAATTATTATTGCCGGTTTTCCTCACCTTGTGTATATTTAAAATTGGAAAATAATTTTTGTGACAACCAATTCGTTCTAAAATGCTGAAGATCATGTTTAATAATAATCGCACGCCTCTGACTCGTCGATTTCCTTTCCCCTCAGACCCGCAAAGGTCTATGTTAAAAATGTGAGTCACTCTCTACAATTGTGGTATTTGACTGTATATAGGGTGTGCCAACAAGCCCTTAGTTTAATATTTCGTCATTTTTATTCACTAATATGTACTGTATCCGTTTCTGCATCTTTACAGATCCACTAATATCTGCTTTAATCTGATCCAATAAAAAAATGAGCCGCTCAAAAGAAAAAGTCACCAACATGTTCCGCAAAATCTTCAAATCGGGCTCAAAAGAAGGTGAAGGTCCGAGCAAACCCAGCACTTCGGGGACAGGGTCACCGGCAAGACGTCTGCTTCGAGGTTGCAGAGACAGCGTAGCACCTGCAGCTACATCTACAGCTAGTCCTGCTTTTTCTGCAAAAACAAAAAAAGACGAACACCACACCAAGACCGTCAGAGCCCGACGATTAATGAAAGAGTTGAGGGACCTACAGAGGCTTCAAAACTCCAAATCAGATCCTGTGTTCACGGTAGAAATAGTAGAAGACAATCTATTCGAGTGGCACGTAAAACTTTTTAAAATTGACAGTGAGAGTGATTTAGGAAATGACATGAGAGAATTCGGTGTGGGGTATATTCTCCTTCATTTGGTGTTTCCAGAAAACTTTCCTTTTGCTCCTCCCTTTATGCGCGTCATTTCTCCTAGGATAGAAAAAGGTTTCGTAATGGAAGGTGGCGCTATTTGTATGGAATTGCTGACTCCAAGGGGCTGGGCTAGCGCTTATACCGTTGAAGCTGTTATAATGCAGTTTGCTGCTAGTGTCGTGAAGGGTCAAGGACGAATACAAAGGAAAAACAAAGGTCAAAAAGTTTTTAGTAGACGAACGGCGGAAGAAAGTTTCAGATCGTTGGTTAAAACTCATGATAAATACGGTTGGGTCACTCCAAGCTTATCTGATGGTTAGTAAGGCATGAATTTCTTTCGGAATGGTATTTTTAAAATAAACACTTACCTGTAAAGGTAAGCTTTTAACGAGCTAAAGAAATTTGCCGTTGACTTAAATATCTCAAGATTATAGGATATGTTAGGGAAAGATATTAAAAAATGTTTGCAATGATTAAAAAAAAAATATTTATATATCACAATGATTAATTTAACACAAACGTTTTTTTAATAGAAAGTCGTAGAAGTTAATAATTCGGAACATTTTTGACTGATTTTTAAAAGTTTACTTAGTTTTGATAAGCATTGATCAATCAATTGTGGTTATTTATATTGTTGAATAATCTTTTACAACTTGAAAAAAAAAACAAAGACAGCGCTAGATTAATTTTAGAGATGTATTTTATTGGATGTATCTATATACCCGCTTATATTTGTTCTTTGATTTTTAACAGAAATACCTAAATGGAATTAATGGTATTGTATTTCCCGGACAAAATAATTTAAGTATTTATATTTTTCCTCTAATAAAACAATATATTGGCTATACTAAACGTTATCTCTAAGAAATATTGTATATATTCTATTATTATTTAATTTTCGGTATATTTATAAAATTGAAGAAAAAAATGGTTTTATCCTTTGGATTGTAAAATGCTTTCGTCGATACAGCATAGGTGGCTGATGGAAATATAAAAAAAATCCGAAAAAACGAGAAGTAAGTACAGAATACCAAAGGCGTGGGTTCAATTCCCACCGGAAACAGATTTTTCAATTTTTCTTTTAATTTGTTTTTACACTTGGTGTTCAGATTCTAATTATTCTTTCTTTTATAATTTTGTTGGCCTAATCTCCAAGGAAAAGTTAAATACTTAAAGAGAAATTTGTTTAGAATTAGGTATTTGAATTATTCCGTTGGAGAAGTGAATTTAAAAATTATTGTATAATAGCGCTAATTTTAGTTTCTATTTATACGAGGGTCGTGCTATATATTATAAACAAAAAACTAAATGTTTGGTATAACAATGTGTTATTGTATTTTAAAGTATTTCCACCTTCTTTATATTTAACTGAAGAAGGGTATCCAACTGCTCTAAATGTAGTCAACTTAAGAGCTTTTGCGAGAGCAAAAATGTTTTAAAGATTTTCTAATATAAAATTGTATTTATATGCGCGCCACTGGAAATATTTCCGTGAAATTATGTGTCTTGAGAATATTGAGAGTTAAATTTGTGCAACGATAAGGCAGCACTCTACAGAGACGGTTAAGAAAAAAAGGTGAGACATCCTCCGTACTAGTTATTTATTAAAAAGCAGCACATTTTTTTCCATAGATTTAACAGGGAATGGCGCGTACATGTTTTTTTTTAAATTCCCATTAAAGATTTTTAAAATAATTATTTTTCGAAGGTTTACAAAAAATCAAGCGGACTAAAGGTTCAGAAGGAATTATAAATTTTCAGGGTGTCTTTACGCCATTATCAGGTTTACAAGTTAAATATGTATATATGTACAAAAAATATAGTATTACATACTAACAGCCAGTTGCAAGAATGATCGTTAAATATTTAAAGACTCATTAACGCTAATGATCCATTAAAAATGCATTCCGATCCTCGATAGCTATGGCGCGTAAATCTAGCAACACGGCGCGTTCTCCACAATATGACCAATGATATACTTTTATAGAAATTGCTCAGCCATATTAAAATAGGATTACGAAAAGCGCCTTTCCAAGTGTTCGCCGAATAAAATCCTTCTGGCCCAAATAAAATAAAATTTCAGCTTTCAATAATTTTAAAAATAATTGAAAATAAAAATTTCGCAAAAAAAGAATCCCCAAAGTTAAATAATGCAATAATCTAATTCTGTTATTTGAGTACTCGAAGGACCAAAAAAATGTATTAGAATTAATACTGTTAATACTGCCCAAAGAGGCTGGTTGTGAAACAGTAAAAAAAGGAAACGTTTCTCAAATATTGTATATTCAGCCAGAGGATGGTTCAAATTTCTAGTAGCAGTGGTATAAGCACATTTAGGATCGGGCCCGATTATGATGGTTGTAATTATGTAACACAGTCGTAGCGGTATTATTCGCTTCAGCATGTATGGCGACACACACGGGCACATCGAAGTGCATAAAAGCAATTAATTGACTAGTTCTGATTCAAGGTCGCTTCACTGGTTTTACGTTTATGAAGTGCTGGTGTGGTTAAAGTTCGAGGTTTCTTTTTTTGCGCAATTATCTGGGACACACGGTACGATGCTTCAGTTGCAGCCTTATTTTTGTCGACTGTTTTTAAAAGTATTGATTGTTGTCCAATTAACTGCTTTTTTAACTGTTTCAGTTTCTCCTTTCTGGCGGCAAAATGTAGTGGGAATGATTTTTCAAAATTAGAATGTACAGTTTTATGATGTCTCTCAATATTTCCTTTTTTAGCAACGGAGACCGAAGTATTACATAACAAACACACATTTTTATCTTTAACTTCTGTAAAAAAGTAGTGTTCTTCCCATTCCGAATAAAAGTGGTATGTCTTTACCTTCTTACAACTGCTTGCCATATTATTATTTTTTGTTGTTCTCTACTAACCCAACCGCTGGACGTTGGTTACGCGTTCAGTTTTAAACTAAGCGCAATGTCGCCGCGCCGTGCGTATTTATCCCGTTCAAAGCAATCCTGATCGTTCTCGAACACTAACGCGCTGGTCCGGCTGGTCGGTTCTAGCCGATTCTAGCTTGATGGCGTCAGCGGCAGATCGCTCACCGCAACGTTGCCGCTGTTTATGTTTAATATTATGTGTGAGCGTTGTGAGAGCTACCAGAATTGCCTCCGCGAGCTACCGGTAGCTCGCGATCGACAGGTTGGCGACCACTGTTCTAAGTCCTAGGTACATAATAAAAAGACATTAATGTTTCGTTACCTGTCGTGTTTTTTTAAATAGATACTTTGATGACCGGCTGTCCAATAATTTCAAAGTTTCACGATAACTTCTAATGAGTACTAATTTTTAAAACGTAGATAATCATGTAAAATATCATCAATTAAATTTGTGAACTTTGAGAACGATTTAAGTATTAAGGAGGGAACGCATTAGGCAATCGCGGTCCCGTTGCATCGCGAACTGTGCTAGTCTCAATCGATTCGCGATTTTCGAGATTTTTTGGAAAAGATATAGCATCTTTCCACTCTGTTCTTGTTTAAAACACTATTATAATTGGACTTACAGTCATAAATATAGCTAGGCATAATTATTCAAGTTATTATATACCTTGTAACGGGTAAACAACGGGCCACTAGATACTTTTTAACACTTATTTAAATTAATTATTTTGGTAAGATTACACAAAGAAAATTTCACAAACTTTCTACACGATTTTAACAATTAATTAAAGAAAAGGCTGTTTTAATTTCACATAATTTAAACGTTTTTCGAAAAAAAAAAAGTAGAGACAGTAATGCTTGTATCATATATCTGGTATTTCAGTTGGCAATCATTTAACTTAAATAGTGTTGTTCAGTTATATCTTAAATAATTCTAAATTATTATTTGTAGAATAGTTATCTAAAGAATAAAGCTTTTCTATTCAAAGTACTCTGTAGTAGTTGGTTAACCAATATCTGAAAATAATATATAGCTTGACCTTCGTAACCTATTTTATGAAGCTTTAATAATGGGTGTGTAGGATGGGAAATGTACCAGTTCTAAGACTTATTGATCTCAATAACAAATCCGTTCCGTATATGTGTCAAAAGTAGTTGTAGGAATGAGTATAGGATAGAAATTTAAAAGTAAGTGTTCAATGATCGCAGTGAATGCGCGTTTTTTATTACATTACATATATGTCGCGAGTTTATTGTCTTAAAAAACTTTGTTTTCAAATTTACAACTTCTCTCTTTTTCACTTGAACCTTATAATTGTCACTGCGAATACGGAAGATTTTCTAAAAAAGGCTGTTCCATAATGATGATAGATAGTGTATAGATTTAACCATAAACGTATTTTTTTTGTTATCCACATTTAGAAACATAGCAAATACCAATAAAAATTGAATAATCAATTACCACTTGCGTGCCAGGTGTAGAACATTAATGGACAAGGTTATTTTTTAAAAACACTTGTTCATTTATTAATTAATGATTTGATATATTTAACCTGTTAAGTCATAGTCATTAACGTTCATATGCTTCATTCTTATAATTTTGTTTTTAGTACTTCTCTTGGTGAATATTAAATGCATATGTTTTTTATTTCTGTAATAAAAAATGTTTTACTACAGAAGCCAATTATACCAAGCGCAATGGTGTAGATATTTGTGGCTAGACTTCTTACTTATATACTGAGAGCTAGCTGGAATTTAGTGGTTGAAGGGGTCATCAGGAAGTGTTATCTACAAGGATTTCGTTTAAACCCCCTGCGAACAAGACCTCAGACAACTCAAGTTGTAATTTTTTGTTGAAATTGACAATGTCTCGATAGGTCAGTTAGTTAAGCATTTAACAAGCATTTAAGTTTGTATTTCTCGACCACGGTTCAATTCACGATGAATGCAATCTTTTTTATTTTTGAAAAAAAAAACAAAAATTTAAAAGTACGTAAGGGAGAGTGAGGAAATTGTGTGCACTTAAGCGAAAATCGTTATAGCACTGATAGCATTGTAGATAATTTAAATGTAAATACCGTAATGGGGGTTCTATTTAGTCTACTCTCGGCACGTAAATCAATTATAGGAAAAAATAAAATATTTAAAGTATAACACTGTTGAAAGTACAAAAGTGCTCTTGCGCACCATTTCCCGCCGTTGTGGGTAATGGTGCGCAAGTGTTGGGGAATCGTGCGCATTAAAAGTATTAAGTATAAGATAAAACCAACACTAACTTTAAAAACATTTATTGAAGTTGTGGAACATAAAATAAATAACATTATACTAACTCCTAATTTTAGCGTAAGTCACCTTAATAATTTTTTTTACTACTAACCTGAGAAATTGCTATTATTCACTCCATTCCCCTAACGAGAAGTAATATTTCTCACCCTAGGTAAATAATGATAATAAAAAAACACCTAGGTAAATAATGAGAAAAATTCTATA